ATTATCATCATCATATGCTATCATTATTATTATTATTGTTATCATTATATTACATTATCATTATTGTTCATCATTACCTTCATCATCCTTGTTATACCATTATCTTCACTATCATTATTATCATCGTAATACATTAACATTAGAAACATGATANAACAACAGATTATACTAATATTAAGTATATTATATTTTTTCATACTGGAGTGAAGGGATTAGAATATTAAGTATGTATAAAAAAACAAACAAACTAATCTAACAACGATAGTGAATATATTTTATATGATAGTTATTCTAGATAGACAGACTATATAATAATACTAACGTTATACTTTATGTTATTATATTATATTTTATGTATTATTCTATATGTATATATATACAGTATTATTTTAGAGATTTATATCTCTTTTATGTAATGTGTTGTATTTTTTTTTCTTTTATTTTTTTTGTACTTGATGTTTATTTACTAATAGTATCTTATAACTCGTAATGTATTATGTATTTTTCTATATTATAGAATTTTGTATGTAGTTGTTTTTTTCAGCGCCATGTGCTGATTTATTTTATTGCTGCATTCAGCATTTATACCCGTGATATACTGTACTCTGAGATACTCCATCACATTCATTATTTCTATACACAATGCTTATATCCCGTCTCTTCCCATCCTACTTTCTCTATTTCCTACTTTTTTTCAGTCCGTCCTTCCTTTCGCGTTCTCTTCTTGTTTTTCTAATTCTTAACCTCGTCCGTCCTTTCTTTCTCCTATCTTCACTATTTCCTTCTATTGCTCAAATTCATCTTTTTTTCGATTCCATTCCTACCCTTCTTCCCGATCTTCCGTGTCTCTATCTCTGTCTCCCTTCACCTCTTCACTCCTCCCTTCTTCTCCTCTTCCTTCCTCTTGCCTCTCTCAAAACCACATAAAAATCCTCTGGCAACCGATGACAGTTTTCTCAAAGATCCGTCGATTAATTAAGGATAATGCGAGTTTTACCCTCTTGTGAATATTTCAGTGCGACAGGTTCAATGTTTTCATAGCGACACCTGCTAACTCCAATATTTTGTGGCAGTAACAAACTATCAATTTATTACCGTAACTGATGACTTTTAACTTTATTATCTTTTGTCCCAATAGAACTAGTTAATATATGTTCATATTTATACTTTTGCCCCAGTGTAGAACAGCTTATCGAATAATGATAGATTTAATGGCGGGCTGATAAGGTTTGAGGGTAAAAATACTGGAATAAAATTACATGTGATAATTATATCAGTCAGTTGAGATTGAGAAAATAGGTACAATCTTCTACCAACCAGAAGTCTATGATATAGTGATATATTTATGTATATAGGTGATAATAGACTAAAGGAAGTTATGAAATATATATAATTATTATCTATATATTATATATTAGATATAGATTGAGCTGATAATATATATATTATATATATATAATATATATAATGTATATGTGTGTGTGTGTGAATATAGTGTATTATAGTTATAGTGGATGTATGTGTGTGTGTGTGTGTTTAGTATTGTTGGTGACAATTGTCTGTGTGTGTGTGTTTGTGTGTAGTCTTGTGTGTGTGGGTTTGTGTATGTTTGGTGTGTGTGTGTGTGAGAGGTGTATTGAGTGTGTGTGTGTGTGTGTGTGTGTGTTGTTGTGTGTGTGTGTGTGTGGTGATATGGGTGCTGATGTGTTGTGTTGTGGTTGTGTGTGTTGTGTGTGATGTAGTGTTGGATGTTATTGGCTGAGTATAGGTGGAGTTGCTTATAAGAGGTTAGGATAGGTTTAGAGAGTGTTGATGTTGTGTGGGTGGTGTGTGTGTGTGTGTGTGTGAGAGTGTGTGTAAGTGTGTGTGTGTGTACTCTGGGCTATGGTTGAGTGTGTATTACGCATCGGAGAAATATATCGAGAGAAAGGATCGAAACTACAAATCAGAAGAGATAGATGAGAAAGATATACTGAAGTATTAAAAGACTGAGATGATAAGAGAGAAGATCATAGAGAAGATTGAAAACTAGATTCGATAATGAATGATAGTAATATAGATATAATATATATATAGTATATTGAAAAATATTATTCATAGTGAAACGCGTGAGTTAAAGAATACAGATGATAAGACAGATGGAGACATGACCGAGCAACAGAGCGAAAGAAAGGAAGACAGTGAAGTATATGAATATAGAGTTGAGATAGTAATAGATAGTATGTGTATGCAGTGCATGTAGTAATAGCATGCATGCATGTACTGTTTGTATGTAGTATAGATTTCTCTGATGTAACTAGGTCAATACCATAATCTTGGGTAAGTTCTAGTTTCGCTTTCTACGTATGAAAAGAAAAGAGAAATTAACTGCCGTTCATCCCAAAAGTACTCTACTTTACATGATTAACAATACACTATTATAGCTATTATATATTAAAGAACAAAATACATCTTGTAAGCCTAACATCTGAATGTTTTACATGTTGAAGTAGTTCTCATC